GGGCCGCGCATGCGCCGCCACCAACCTGGGGCTGTCCGTGGAGGGCGAGTGCTGGCTTCGAGGGGAGGCGACGCCCTTCGGGGCGAACGGGCCGCGCGCAGAGGGGGCCGTGGGGACGACCCATCCCTTTTCCAGCCGTGGGGCTGGGCTGGGGTCGGGGGCGGTGGGGGCCCCGCCCCCGTCTCCTGGCCTGCCCCCTTCATGGGCCGCGATGATGGCGGCTCTGTACCCGACCACGGACCTCACGGGCGCCGCCTCCTCCTCATTGCCTTCTTCCCCCTCCTCTTCGTCGCCAAACGAGGTGATGGCGCTGAAGGATGTGCGGGAGGTGAAGGAGGAGAACACGCTGAATGAGAAGCTTTTCTTGCTGGCGTGCGACAAGGGTGAGAGCTAGGCCCCTTTCTCCGCCTCTGGACGCCCCCGCCCTCCACACCCTCCGTCCTCTCCCCGTCTCGCCTTCCTCGGGCATTCCCTCTGGTTCGGGCGCCCAGCGTCGTTCCGGCGCCGCTTCTGCCTGTGAGTGTGGAGCCGGCGGACGGGGGGAGCTCTGGCCCTGGCCTCCCTTGGTGGGGTCCCGGGTTTCGATAGCGTCGTGGAGCCCGGACCCCAGAGTGTTAGCCCCACTCCTGCTAGCGACCACGTGAATGACCGGGTTCACCCCTCCGGGTTCCGTTCTTTCCTTCTGGGAGCCCAGAGGCTAGTTTCGGACCTTCCTGTCCGAAAATTCCGTGACCTTGCCTTAAGATTCCTCTTACTTATGGGCTGTCACCTGGTTTTTGTTGTAAAAAGAATCCAACAACCTTTTTTCTGTTGTTTAGTTTCAGCTGCCCAGTGCCTTGGCTAGTGACCGTTAAATGAAATTAAGTATATGAATATCTTAGAATGGAGAGACGTGAAATAGGGACAATACTGGAGAAATTCTGCCTTAGTTCCCAAAACTTTCTCCAAGCTTAGCTAACACCTTTGTTCGTGCTTTTTATTGGAAAGAAAGGTTATTGCTCCAGAGGCTTCTTTGGAAGATGAAGGTAGTGAAAAATAATTACAGGGTGAAAATAAGTGGACTATATTTAGTGTGCTTTTCTTTTTTTTAAATCTAGAAATTGATCATTTTTATGGCCATATTAAAGTCTTTTCAGATGAGCATGCTTTTGAGTGACGCATGTTAATAAAAGGAATGGGAAACTGATTGCTTTTATTTCCTACACGAATAAAAGTACTGAAATTTTTCTATTTATAAATTTGTTCGGCTTCCTGTACAATGACCATGCTCATTTAAGACAGCTGTTAGAACCTACAAACTTCCAAAACATAAACCCAAAGGGCAACTTACGCTGTGGAAAGATTAACTACCGAGGATTTTTTGTCTGTGTGTGTTTTTTAATAAATGACAACCTTCCTAACCTCTCTTACTGCTTTTGAAATAGAATTTTATTTTCACAACTTTTTGAACACATTGACATATAAACAAAGTCCAAGTATGTTTATGTGCTTAGGTAACAGTATTAAATAATATTATGAAGCATTTGTTAAAATCCACCATGGACACAACTTCGAGTAGTCTTGGAAATGTGAAGAAACATAGAATGTATGTCTATAATGTCACAAAAATTATGGTCTATGGATTATGTAAAATTATTTAGTATTGTTGGAGTGGGCTTGCCTGAGTTCTCTTCCCTCAAAAATTCTCGAGAGGGGAAGGGAAAGGATTGTGTTGTACTAGAATGAATAAATGGCTGCTCCATCTAGCCCAGCTCACCGTGCTATGGTTATTTTA